AAAAAAAAAAAATGTACGCAAAACTAAAATTAATTAAGAGAATAAAAAAATCTACGATAAAAAGTTTTAAAGAAAAAACGAGAAAATTTAACGATCGTCCAGAAAGAGAAACAAAGAAGGTTCGGTTTATTTTATTTTTCATTGGGTTCCTTGCATTTTGCAGTATTCTTTCACCGAGAACCAGGATCGATCTAGTTCGTGTTTAGGACGGGCGGATAAAACACGCAGACTGTCTCCATTACGCGTATCGTAGATTCGTCAGCGAACCGATTAATCACTGTCTAGTCGCGTCAAAGTCACGTCTAATCACTTGGTTGGTGTCTTCGTGCACCGTCACTCGGTGAAACTAGGATCGGACACTGATTCGATATCGACCGAATCTAGCCCCGCCAGCTGGATTTACCTACTAACCTAAATATTTCAAATGCGCCTAAATCCAACGGATTTGTTTGCCACGAGTTCACAGAGAAATGAAGCTTACTCTGTTCATTCTGTTCTCTTCGAAGGAATTCCAGGCATCTGACCGCCTTCCACCATTCCACCATCCACGTTTAATTGTAACTCCAACATCCCTACCAAGTGGAAACTTGTATTTCAATTTCGTGTGAACAACGCTAGAATTTTTAATATCACGAGAGATTTCTCTCGTTTTAGGTCCTAGGGGAAACGTTCGTCGATTTTTCTTTTTCTGCTTTCACCTTGCGAAAAAAAAAAGTTGCGTTTCATGCACGTTGTACAATCAAGATTCTACTCGACGATGAAATGTCACGATTGACGTTTAAAATCCGAAACTAGCGGGGAAGAGTTTAAATTTAAAATGAGAATTAAAACAACACGACAGTCTAAATAATGAAATATACCTAACAAATTGGAGAACAATTTTACAGAGAATTTATTTGTCATTAAACGAACACTATAATTAGAAGAAAAATTTTTTTTAGTCGTTGTACATTCTATATCCAAACTACTAACGATCGTTAATCGTAGATAGGTAGATATCATGCTGACGCGTGTCAAATATGTTTTTCAAAGTTTGGAATTATCTGTCCTTAAACATCGTTCGATATTCGATTCCTGTGAACTATGAAAAGAGAAAGAAATTGCTATAATACACGCCTGTTGAATATTAAAAGTGCTATGAATATTAAATAATACTATTAAAAACTACTATCTAAAACTGTTACAGCTTCGTTATTTGACGTCATGTATCATCGGGACATTGGCGTAACTTTTTTATGAGTTTTAACTTGAAAAATTGCATGCAAAGCTGTTGGAAGTATGAATTTAACATTTCGAAGAGCTTGCGGAACGTTTTATCGTTGATTTTTAGAATTCATCAAGGTCACTGCTTTTAGAATACAAACCAAATGCATGATATAATTCGAAATGATTGAATGTTCCTTGTTAACTAGGTAAATTAAATCGTCAATTTTTCGAACGTAACAATCGCTCGCCTATCTTTTTATACGTCAGTTTCCAAAGATAAATCATGTCATCCGCGAGCACTATACCAGTCATTATATTTTAATCC